AGGGTGCGGCAGCATGACACAGCACAAACCACTGTATATAACAAAGTGCACCATGGGGTATCGTGTGGCTGGGGATAGGAGTTGTGGCTGGTGTTGGGGGTCTGGGAAGTAATTAGGGATTTGCAGGTTGGTGGTGTACATTCTGTATATATTGTACAGTAAATGTTTGTGTGCAAGTTTTCTGCATCAGACTGTGGACTGCTTACTTTGTCTCATTCACGGAGCACCACTGTGCAGAGTGTACGCTGCACACCCCAACAGCATAAGGCAAGAATTCCCTCCAAGGGGGCACAGACACTCTTTGAAGTAGAAGGCCATGATATATTGTGGTTTCTAAAATGGCATTCATGGTTTTAAAATAGCATTTCTTTTTCCAAGGATAAAATGCCATGGCACAAAGATCAGTCATGATCCCTGCAGACTCCCAGTAATATTGTCATGGGATCAGTGGAATCATATCACCTTGCTGTCTGGAAACTTCTTCAAAAATTATCACTGCAATCTTTTGGTATCTAGAAGGGTATTCCAAGGCTACAGATTATCTCAGATCTCTCTCTCTCTGGATGCAGAGATCAGCCAGGGAGATTCCCACTTCAGTGCACTCTACCAGCCCTCACACTTAAAGGAAGCAAGCTAACGAGAGTGCTGGGAGAGAGAAGATTCATGGGATCCAATACTTTTTCCCAGTCCTCCAAATGGTCATCTATACCATCCTGAACCTCTCACTGACCCAATAAGGAAGTGGGATGTGTTAAAACAGCCAAAATAGGGAAGTTAATTCCCCACTTCCTCCCATCATTCCTTTCTCATTTTGAACCCAACTGCAGGAGCACATGAAATTTTGGGGGTCCTCAGAAACTCTGGCACTGGGTTTTTCTGCCCTGACCTGTCCATTAACCAAAATTCATGTTGCCAATTAATGCCACATGAACAATGGTTGATTTAAGCAGAAGGAAATGGATGTCTTCAGTTCATTGGTACTGGAGAAATTTTAATTTTTAATATCACTTAATATACATTCTATATTAAGGCTTTCTTGGATTGTTATATCAATTAGCCTTGATTTATTCTGCCTTGTGATGTCATAAAAGATTACCTTACTGGAGCTAGAGAATGAAATTTGGCATGGAACCACTTTCCCTTCCGTTTCAGAATGCACAAATGCTGAAATCAGCCAACCATGGAATCTAGAAGAAGGCCAAAAAGCTTGGCTGGAGTTCAGACAAACAGATTAGCACAATATCGTGGCTTATCTTGGGAGGATGCAGGGCAGGGACTGCAGCTCCTGCTTACAAAATCTACACAATGGAGGTCAAGATCTCCCTGGTTCTAAATTGATCTGCCCCTCAATAGAGCACTGTAACCTGAACGTTTCCCCTGTATGCTTTTTGAACCAGCACTTCAAGGTTACCCCCTTCTTCCTATTGTGAAAACATCCTTTACATGGACCTGCAGAATTAGGCTCTGTGATAGAAACAGTAGGTTATCCTTACATTTAAATGAGGTTTGATGGTGTTTTGAAGGGAAATCTGTGGATGAGAGGTGTGTGTGAATAACTCTTCTCTCACTTGCAAATCTTTCTCCACAAACTTAATTGTTTTGCACTGACTGGTTCTGCTAGGCTGAGAATCCAGCAGTAAATATGGGTAGGAAGGATATAAGGAGGACCTATCCAATGGAGAATCAGCAAGATGAGAATGGTACTTATCAGAGAAAATTGACAGCATATTTTTGCCTATTCACCTCCATCAGCCACAGAGATTGCATATTTCCCATGATTATGTATAGATCAGTGTTTCTCAGTCTCAGCAACTTTAATTTCTTCCTGGCTGAGGAATTCTGGGAGTTGAAGTCCATACATCTTAAAGTTGCTGAGGTTGAGAAACAATGATGTAGATCAATCCTGTGTGGAAGAGAGTTCACCAAATGATGCACAAGCAAGAGAAATGGGAACCAACTGAAAGAAATACCCCAGCTCTCACAAATGCCCCAGCCCTCTGCTCTCACTGAATATTTTTCTGCAGTTCAAACAAGTCCTATCACAATTTAGGACTCATCCTACCAAATATACAAAAATTTATACACTTGCCATGGTGTACAAGTTGATCTACTTCAATATTTCCTGAAGACCAGCAGGCATGTGTTAATAAATCTCACCTACTCAAGGCACTTCAACAACCAGCACCAAAAGAAGATGTCCTTTTCATCATAGGGGATTGGAATGGTAAAGTAGGAAGTCAAGAAATAATCGGAATAACGGGCAAGTTTGGCCTTGGAGTACAGAATGAAGCAGGGCAAAGGCTAATAGAGTTCTGTCAAGAGAACAAGCTTAAAACCATCCCAAAGAAAAAGAAATGCAAGAAAGCAAAATGGCTGTCTGATGAGGCTTTACAAATAGCTGT